CACCAGTTAAGTTCTTTTAAATAAAGTCTCCAAACTTGTAAGTGCGTAAAGATATTTCAGATAATCACAAACTAAAAAGTGAACTGTATATGGTATACAATAAACAGAAACAAAGAAAATGCATCTTGTCCAATATCAGAATTTTATAATGCTTGGGTTCATCCTACTACAGTTCATAAATTCTTGTTAGTCTTGATTTAAAAAAAAAAAAAAGGATAATCAGACTATCATGCAAAGTGAGAGGATTTGTAAAGGAATGTTTCAGTGCCATCTAGTGGTTTTTTCATAATAATAATAAATGTTCCCTCTCTTGTATGATAATTTTCATTTAATTATAATCAGAAAACACTTATTATTACTACTCTATATTTACTTTTTCTTCTCAGCTTTTATACGTAATGATGTTGGAGACATTAACAATACTTACATTAGCTCTAAGGACATCCTATTTCAGTGCAGAAATGGAAAAAAAAAGATGCAGCGTAGGAATATGCTAAGCTATGTTACAGACGAGGAGGAGGCATCATACTGTGCGGCCGAGTGCAATAATCTAGCCAGGCTAAAACAGCCTTGGAAAGGAGTACAGCTTTCATTCGAAGATTTCAAGAAGGGAAATGCATCACTTCCTCAATCTGTTCTGCTAACTGGCACATTACTCTGTGTCTAATTGCTAATTTGAACGTATTGGCTCTAGCTTCTAGCCCTTGGCTCTTTTTACAGTTCTTCTCATGCTTTTTTCTCTGAGATTAAAAAGCTTTTCAATACCTGGTATATTCTCTTTGTGTTAGTACTTTTGTGCCGCAATCAAGTTACCTCTCAGTCTCCTTTTTGATAAGCTTAACAAACTGCATTCTTTCTGTCCTTCACAGTGAGGCATTTTTACAGCACTCACATAATCTTTGTGGCTTTCTTCTTATATCCTCTCCATTTTTTGCACTGTTAGAAACACTGACACATTACTTGCAGGTAATATTCTAGTACTGCCTTCATCAATGCTTCTATAAACGCAAATTTGCTTCCCTACTCCTACGCACTTGTCTTCCTGAATAGATTTGCAGATTCTTGTTAATCATTTTTGCCTCAAACATCATATTAGAAGTTCATGTTGACTCGGTTTTTCAAGATGATTTCTAAGCACTTTTCAAAGCTGCTGTCTTCAGGTATACAGACCCTACACCATACTTACAGCCTGGGTTTTCAGATATGCAGCTCTGTATGTGAATATATTAAAACATTAGTTAATTGCATGGGCTCTGCTTACCAACCTGTCCATGCTGCTCTGTGACTGCCATGGCTTCATCATTCTCTATCACACTGTCAGCCTCTGTGCCCTCTGCACATTTTATCAGCAGCGAATTTACATTTATGTCCAGCGTATGTACAAAACGGTAGTATCACTTTGGTTTGAGCACTGTTCTTCCGAGAACCCAGTTGTGAATAGCCCCACTGGACGATTATTTCTCATTGAAATCATTATTCAGAACCATTAGTTTAAGGTTTTAATTCACTAATGTGGACTGTATATAGTACAGTGCCACTTTTTAAACGAACAGTAGTACATTGTGCTGGTTGAATATCTCCAAACAGTTAAAGCATATGACATCTATTCAATATGATTACATCTGCAATCTCTCAAAGAATTAAATCAGGCCTGTTTTATATAAAACCATGCTGACCAGCATTAGTGGTATTCCTATCATTCAATTCTTCATCATTGCAATTCCATGCTCTTTCCTGTTATTTTGCCTGGAGCTCAAGTCAGGCTGAGAATCCTTTTCAAATACTGATAAGCCATTCGAAGGTTTCCTGCTTCTGCAATTTCCCCAACACTCCAAAATTTATTTTAAAAGATGGTTAGTGCGTGTGAAGTGTGTCAGGCAAGTGTGTTTTCTTTATGGACTTCTGGGTGCAAATGAGCCAGACTTGATCGTTTTAAAAGCTTAGCCCTAACAGATGTCTAACATCTTCCTTGTTTATTAATGAATTTAATGGGATAAGTACGTTAACAGGCTTCCTTCCAAATACAAAACAGAAGCAATAAATTGAAGCTCTTTGCCATGTCTACATCATTCTAAGTATCTTCAGTATTGACCTACTCAGAGGTTCCATTTGAAACGTGCATTCGGGAGCACTGCCCAAAACCTTAAAGAAAATTGACAAGCAGTTTTAAGACCATCCGTCATGATGTTTTATTCCTCTAAAGCTCATAAGGTAAACTTGTAGCCATATCTGCCTGCCATGTAAGCATACACACACAGTGAAAGTAAAACCAGTGACACGACATTACAGAAGCAGTCACTGCTGGTATGATGAACAAACTGTAACATCGTGTTTGATGTTTGCTCTTGAAAGTGTTTAATTTTCAGGAAAGATAACTATATTGCTTATAATACTTCAGCCTATGGTTATTAAACAAATTAACTGACTTGCATTCTATTAAACACTTTGCAGTCCAACACTTGGCAATCTTTAAACTACTCTGCATTGTAGCCCATGTAATTATCCATCAACCACAAATCTGACTCTCCATGTCTGTATCCCAAGCTTTTATTTTTCAGGTAGGTAGGATCCCTGTGCCACAATCACACTGGAATTCCAAAATAATAAAACTTGTTGGTTATTTATTTATTAAGTTTATAGATTGTTTGATCTTTCCTGCCTCCTCAGATCTGACTCTTTCAAATGAAAGACATGCAGGCCTGGAAAATGCTGATTTCTGGTAAAATGTACCACAAAGGCTTGGCAGGAAACAGGACCAGAAGTAAAAGGTGACCAAGCAGAGTCATGATGCATACGGCAGTGACTCCACCACCCCTGTGAGGAGTCACTGTGGCAAGGGGAAAACAAAGGGAAACAAGTCTGTGGTGAAACCTGAAGAAATTGAAGAGCAATATTCCTTTATCATCCTCATGGGCTGTTATTTTGTAAATCAGCTGTAGAGCTTGGGGTCATATGTAATAGCTGTAACTATAGCACATAAATTACTATGGCTGTTATAGCAATGATTATAGATTTCATAATATTCGTTACAGAAGAGTGCCACATACACAGGTCAGTAATGTCCCAAACATGGACACATGAATAGTCAAGAGGAATCATGTCACTGGAATGCTGCCACAGAAAATACCATTAAGCTTCTGAGTATTAAATCAGTGGTACTTGAGAAAATCACAAGCAACTACCGCTTTTTTATGAACTCAACAGGGAAAAGTAAAGAGAAACTGAAGAATCTGATGATGTTTGGATACAGAAGTGACACAATGCATATTCAGTGAATATGGAAAGTAGAGCATTAATAGTACATACGATTTTGGATGTTCTCTCCAGTTGTCTGAATGGCATTTTTATTATGTATTCCACAGTACTTACAAAATAAGATGCATAAACCATTAATGTGCAGAAGATATGTTCCAAGTGTTCAGGCAGCCAAACAAGTGTCTGATTTTCAGACAGTTTAGCAAGGCAGCCACATTTATAATTTGTTCAGGCCTGTTGTGAGTTACCTGTGCAAATATGAAAATACATTTTTACATGCAATTTAATGTAGTGAAATGGACAAGTGCAAAAATGTTTGCCTAAAGAACATGCATCTAATCTTATGGAAAATCAATTCTATTCTGGTAGTCAGATACTAAGACTACCATCCAAATCCACAGAGGGTTTCCTTGTTTCTAGCAGAAATACGTAACAGATTATGAAAATACTATTTATTTGTAAATTGGCTCACAGGCCAATTTTTGCATTGATATGTTTGAACAGTTTAACAATCTTCCCCTCAGCTAGCTAGTGTTTCATTGCTCATAAGGGAAAGGGAGCAGATATCTCTAGTCCTAGTGCCTGATACTGCAGAACGAGAAAATCTAGAGGTAGTCTCAGTCCCAGTGTGAAAGGGGAAAGAAGCAGAATCTTACATGAGAGAAAGATCTGAGTCAGCTAACATGCTGGACTTGCCCAAAGCATTAGGTTTCAGCTGGAGGAAGGCTTAACCCCACAAGCTACTTGGCTGCGCATACAAGTAAGTATAGAAAACCTGAGAGCTTTTGCAGAGGTTAATTTCTCAAAAAGAAAACGGACAACTAAGCCTTGACTCTTGTGTCTCTCGTATTTGTGTCTGTACAGTTATAAACAAACATGTAAGATATATCTGAATATCTTATATCTTAAACACGTAATATAAGATATAATATAAGATATAATATAAGATATAATATAAGATATAATAATAAGATATAATATAATAATAAGATATAAGATATAAGATATAATAATATAAGATATAATAATATAAGATAAAATATAAGATATCTTATATCTTAAACACGTAAAGATATATCTTAATACTAACAAACTAAATACATGATAGGCCAAAAATGAATGGGATGTAGTCCTTTTTTCCCATCCCTTAATCTTGTTTTTGCTCCTTTGAAAAGATTTCTCGATTTTGAGTTTTCTCAGTTTGCCCACTTATTTTAGCGATCTTTTTTATTTTATTGTTTGCCTCATTTATCTGTATCCTCAGCATCAGTTTCCCCAGGTACCTTTGAGATGCTCATGCTAACACATTTTTGAAATTCCTCCACTATAAATCATCAGCTTCAAGTTCAGAAAAATGTACTAGATTTTGAAAAACCTGATGCGCATCAAAATGGCTCCAATTTACTTCCCTCAAGACTCAGTACCACCACTCCATTGGGGCACTTCCATTTGGGGGTCAGCAATGGTAAAGCAGGTCTCTGTATACTACACCCCACATGCATAGAGGCAACTAGAGTGCTCCACTAGGACACAATACAAGCTCTAAACTGGGAGGCACAGCAATGATCTTCATACAAAAATTATCAGCTTTAAGTTCAGAGCATTAACATGTACTGGTTTATGGCACCTGCAAGCGAACTGATAACTCATGGCACAGAGAGATGACATGGTGTCACAGAAGAGTTAAAAATCTCCTTTCATTCAGGCAGGGAAAACAACTGCATCACGAAGTGGGAAGAAGGGAGATGGACAAGCGATGTTCCCGCAGCGAGGCTAAAGTTACTCAGAGAAGGGTTGAGTACACCATTACGATACTTGCACGTAAAACAAAGGAGAGAAATGTTTTGCAGGTGGCGTGTAGGAAGGAGATACTGATGATAGCAGATACGAAGCTCAGGTTTTACAACTAGGAGTGGCTCTGTAGGAGGCAGCACACTGCGGAGGAGGTGAGCAAACAAATCAAGACTGCCATTATTGGCTCAGGAGTGACGGGGACAGCTCAAAGAGCACAGCAAAGTTGTGAAAGCAGGTAGAGAAAGAGCTACGTTAATTCACTCCCACTTAGGCAACAAGCTGTAAAGAAAACTATCAACACACAAAACTTGAAGACCATCGCTGGAAGATATTTATGAGTATCAGCTGTCATCCATCTCTCTTTCACACTCAGAAACATAACTGGCTCCTGGCCATGACAACGTCAGATGAGGCCACTGAAGATAAATGTTTGTCCAACGTGTATATTTTCTCACTCAGTTTACCAAACAAAGCAGTACCAAAAGAAACGACTGCAGCGAGAAGGATCCTTCTAAAGTTTCCAGGGAAACTACCTTAAACAATAGATTAGTCAAAATCCTTTCAACACAGTTATCTCCAACTACATCTTCAATAAAATTATTTAAATCAAATGGTTCATGCCAATGTTTTTTGGAAAATACTCAAATTTCAAGCAAATATAAGCAAGCAAATATAATTTCAAGCAAAAATAAGATGAAATCAGACATACTTGAAGGTGGTCTTTACTCTGGGTCTGGTTTATTCCTGTTGAACTGAATGCACATAAATGGAGCTTTTTGAAACCTTTAAGGATTGAAATTACATAAACTATAATTTTCTAGATACTTGCCACTTTGAAAACCTCAAACGTACTGACATATATTTATATCCTAAATTATAATGACAACACGCAATATCTATTTGTACATTCAAATATATTTGGCTATGTGCAAACATTACTATCCACTTCCCAACAGTCCTACTTTTTATTTTATTTTATTTTAAATAAGGTGCTTCACTAAAATGCGTATTCCATTGAATGGAACTGTTTTGTTTTCAAACAGGCTTTGCTTCACTATCAGAAATGCAGCTTCCTGGGATGCATGTATGTTTTGCAGTGAGTTAACACACAAACAGTTTCTCACTGTAAGTTCTTCAGGAAATAAGGCACCACAGTTTTATTAATTAATCATGGAGAGAGGGAATGTATAACTTATCTAATTTAAGGTTTAGTTCCAGTTCTGGAAAAATTCAACTAGCTCTAATTTTTCACATGTTACAGCACAGGTAAAAACTAGAATAAATTTCACAGGAGAACTGTCGTGAGACAGTAAAAATACCAAGCTAGTTGTTATCTCTAAGTCCTTTAAATCCTTCTAAGAGGCACTGCAGCACAGCTTTACCTACAGAATCCCATTAACGCCTGACAGCTAATGGGGGTAGGCAGTAATGACTGCTGTCAGCTGTCTCATACTTTGCTTGATTCATCACTGTTTGTCTCTGCTTCCTCCATCTCTCCTGTTTATTTATTTCACCTGTTTGTTGCATCAGGATCACAGTCTTTCCACTTCATGTTTGTAGAGCACTAGCCTCTAGGTGCTGCTGTGATGTAAGTAACTGGCAATAAGTATGACGGAAATGACACTACTATAAAATTGAATTGAAAGGTGCCAGCAAAACTGCCCTCAATTTCAAGATTCACTGGATTAACAGCTGTCTTGAAAATATATTTTGATTATAAAACTACTTGCAAATTATTCTTAAGTAGATAATATTAAGTATTTTTTCCTTTAGGCAGCTAGTGAACTGATCTGAAAATGCCAGTGTTAATAAAATGATACCTCAATAGCTGTCACATTTCACAGACACCGAACCCCATGGATTGCCTTCGTGTCCCAGGTATGGAGCTTTGAGCTAATGCAGACTACAGGGTTGGGGAATGTTTCATCAGTGAAAGAAATCAGTTCTGGGAAATTTATCTTAGAATGAAAAATATGTTAGAATAATAAATAGAATACCAACCATCTCACACCTGCCATGGCTTTTTTTTTAGCATTATGAACCAGTCTTCCATGTACTCCTCACAAACTGAGGCTGCTATATTTGCCAAGCTTCGCAGCCAAGACCCTATAGTCAGCATTTATGTAATGGAGGGAGGAATCAGCCAAGTCTTGAAAATATATACTTAACACTCTGCTATTGTCTACAGATTCTATAATTGTCTCAGAGCGCTTCTCTCTATTTTTCCAGTAAGAAACTTGGTTTCAATGGCAAAAAAAAGTATTCTCAGTCAGATCCTATTCATGAAGGCTAAGGTACACAGGGCAGAGTCCAGTAATTATGTTAAAAGCCAGGCATCTACATAGTGCTACAGAAATAATAATCCAACCGATTTAATTTCAGGAGTTTGTGATATCACTCCAGGATATGAGAAAAGTTTCAAAGATGAAATCTTGGCTGGAAACAGGGTGCAGCAGAGAAAATCTATAAAGGCAAAACTAAGAACTCATAAAGTGTCATTTCCACTATACTTAGAACTTCATGCCAGTGAATACACTTGCGGTTAACATGACAACAGTGCTACACTAAATAGGCTTTTAACATCATTATTGCCTTCATTTTGTGTTACAAATTGCAGATTTAAAAAAAAAAGTGTCAGTTTACCCCACCTGATAAATTTTATGCTTTATTGCACAGAGAGAACTGTAACTTTAAGAAGTGATAACACCTGTATAAAGGCCATGAAAAATAACCCCTCTGAAGTATGTTTTGCAAAGCCTGCAGCAAGTTTTAAAGAAACAAAAAAGCTGGTTTTCTTAGATCGCATGAAATTGCCAGCAATGAATTCCCTTTGATTTCTTAACCAAATACTCTGTCTTCTAGGGCCAGCCAGTGAGGGCATCCGTTCTCTTGCAGCCAAAGATGATGCAGTAGTCTTGTCTGGAGACCCCTTATTTTTCATGAGATTTGACACAGGCTCTGGCTGCTGTTTATGTCATTGGTAGCCAGGATGACTTTGAAAAATGCTGGCTCCACAAACTGGACTTGCCCAGCTGACAGCACATTCTGGTCCCAAACAGACGCTCTGTGTTCAGAGAGCCAAACCTTCCCTTTGCCTGGATACTGAGCCAGAGTCAGTTTAGCAGATCTACTCTGCCTGTGTATGATACCGTACTCTGAGACTATGTGCCTGGCACATTTACCCCAACAGTGAAACACTGCAGCTGAGCAAACTTGTTCCAGTGGTGCCAGTGGTACTAAAGGAATCTGCAGTAAACTCCAAAGTTACCATGGCTTAATCTGCTTGCAGCCTAGGCATCATTTCGCTCTTGCTTCTTGTGACTGTTGGTAATTCTAGCTTTGATCATGAGATGTTTTACATCAGCCTTAGCCAACTCAAATTGCAGTCTGACTGCTAGTAAGAGAAAGCATATAATGGTTTTATACAACCTACCATTAATGTATGTTGCTTACCATGCAATACTACAAATGACAAAAATGATCAGTGCCACCTGCCTTCCGTATTCCTGCATTGTTTAAATCAGGGTTCCTCAAGCTTCACTTGAAGGTTAGTGTGCCCGTAGCACAGTCTTAGCACCCTCTCTCCTGAGAGCAGACAAGCATGCACACATGCATGGTATAGAACACATCTGATAAGACCAGCACTTCCAGGCAGCAAGGACTTGCTCTGTGCACACAGCCTGACTAGACAGTGCATCTGGATGAATACAGTCATGACACAGGGGAGGGCAAATGGCCTGTAAGCTTTTATTTGCCACCAGAAGATTTTATCTTTCTGTCATGTAATTTTAAAAATGCAGTTTATAAAGCTGCCTAAATAGTCATTTCTTTTAATAAGATTTAACTATTAAATAATCCTACGTCAGAGCTGTATGAAAAGCCAAGGCCTGTATACCGCAATCACTTAAAAGTGGTGTGTATGCAAATAGCCCAACTGGTTTTCAGAAGCGTGAAGCCTGCGTAGAAACCAATCCTAAAGGTTTTAATTCTTCAGTTCTTCACACTTAGTATGTGGCTCACCTAGTAACAGCTCACTGAAATATTACTGAAATCTGATAATTTTACGGACATTTACTTGCACCTCTAATACAAATCACAAATATATCACACTGAAATCAATACTGAAATGCAGGCTTCTATCCTTGCTTATTGAAAACAATGGCAACAGTTTCAAATGACTTCAAAAAGAGGCTGGGTTGGACTCGCCTTATGAAATATTCCAATTGAGCTTAGTAGATCTAATCGGTGTGGAAATGCCTTTATATATTGCATGCTGGCCTGATTGCAACATTCCATTCCCACATTGCTCAGACTTCAGATGAGTCTGTGCTTTATCACGCTTTATAACTCTCATTCAGAATAGCCCTTTTCAGCATTACATTTAAAGAATTTTGTCTGCTCCTGCTGTTTTTTCCAAATTTTGTAAAAATATTTGAGTGTTTGTAACTTCAAAGTCAAAAGGCTTGCAACTTAAATGGTGATGCTCAGTTTTTTTGAAGTTAGTATAACTTGATACTGACAGTTGGCATATATGCCACCCTGCAGCTGTTGCAGTGCTCCATTTACAGGAAGACACTACAAATTATTTACTCGTCTTCATAGTCTGTCCTTTAATTGCTGGTCCTTCTCAAGTGAGTGCTGAGAGACTTTCCAAAAATAGTAGAGGGCAAAGATATTAAGACCTGAGAGTGACATCGAAGGTATTAAAACTCTAACAGCGTTCTCAAAATATTCTACAAAAACCTGACTGAAGAAGCAATGGTATCACAACCAGAATAAAGAAGCTTTCCTGTTTTAAGGCAGTCCTGGATCGCAAGCAAATATGGCAGAAGTTGCTTCCCTGTGTATGTCAGCCCAGTTGTACAGGGTCAGCGATACTAAAACAGATCTTGGGAACTGTCCACAAACTCCTTCTGCTAGGCCTTTCCAAGAGTCCTTCTGTGGAAAAAATCCCAGATTATCAGGCATCTCAAATGAGCAGCTCCACATTCAAACTTCCATTCCAGACAAGACACAAAGCAGGGACATACCCAAACCCACAACGCAGGCTACAATC